CTTTAATTTAAATTCCTTAGTTTCAATTATCTCGATAATAGGTGCCTGCCCTTCTTGTCGCTGAGATTTTGGAACATACTTTAAAATAGGTTTCGTCCGATGTGCTTTTATCGAGACCCCTCGCGTTTTAGCTACCTTTACAATGTCTGTCACCGAAACGTCTAGTGGATCACTTAATGCTTCTTTTGCTTTTGTAGATTGAATCTCTTGTGTAGACGGAAGGCTTGGGATGGGCACTTCCGAAGGTGTATCATGATCGATATAGAACTTGGCATCGGCAAAATGAGATTCTGCTTCTGTAAATGGCTTATGATCAGCCACAACCGTTTGTACGCCATTTTTGTAGAATTTGAAGCACTGATGAAGAGTCGATGGAATGACGCCATTACTATGTATCCAAGGCCTTCCCAACAACAAATTGTAGGACGTCTTTGCATCAATCACATGGAATAAGGTTTCTGCTTGGAGCTCGCCAATAGTTAGCTTTGCCCGAATCATGCCGATAGCTCTCTGTCCTCCTTGGTTAAAACCTTGAATAATAAGACGGCTACGCGATAACTCGTCAATTGTGATGCCAAGATTTTTCATCGTAAATTTTGGCATTAGATTCACCGCCGAGCCACCATCAACAAGAATACGAGTAACTCTTCGTTCTTTTATGTAACCGGAGACGAAGAGAGGACAATTGTGCGGCTTCGAACCCAACTGAAGATCCTCGTCCGTGAAAACAATTGGTGCACAACATGACTCAAACGTACCTCTGACCATTTCATCATCATCAGATTTTTCAATGATGGCTGTATTATGGTTCTCTACAGTCTGGACTTCATCTTGATCCTCGTTCTTCTCATCATTAAGGCTTGTTTTCTTAGTTGAAACCATGTAAGTTGTTTCAACTTCGTCATTTAGGTATCCTTTTGGAAAGAACTCTTGCAAAGTAATAGGCTTCTGACTCTTTTTGCTTATAGAGGTGTGTTTAGTTACTGTGTCTTCTTGATCCATTTTCTGTTATGGCCAGACTGTTTATGGTGATATTGGGGTTTCTTCTTCCTTTGCCCTCTGTCAGAATAATTAGTCTGAAAAATATCAGCTTGTTGCTTCCGTGGTCTCTTTCTTGTCACCAGAGTCCATCCTTCTTCATCATCCTGAGGAAAAACCCTTCCAAATGTTGAAATGTCCCGTACACTCCCTTGGCCAATATAGATTAGGATTGGTTCCAATGAACCAAACTGGATAGTTGTGCAAGATACCTCCGAAGTTAAAAGTTGAGAACGAGTACTCCCCACGACAGAGGTTGTCAAAGTAGCAGTTGTATGATTTGAAGTTACAACTTCGTCTGTATCCAACAAGATTTTTCCTTGTTTTGCCAGATTCATCACCACCTCCTTGAAGATAAAACACTTCTCAATTGGATGACTGATAATGCGATGATATTTGCAGTATTTTGGATCGTTGATACGTCCCATCTCTGGAGGACGTTTGCATTCAGGGAGTTCTATAACTTTACTTTCAAGTAAACATTCCAAGATGCCAGGAACATCGGAATGGGGGAAGGGGTATTCTTTCTTCTCTAACTCCTTTAGCGTAGGACGCTGTCTCTCCCTCTCTTGAAACTGGCGAGGCTTTTTATCATCCTTCTTGTCATCTTTAACAGATATCTTAATTGGGGTGGTTGAGATAGCCATTGAATCTTTAGCCACATTTTTTGATGACTTGTCGCCCTTCTTCCAGTCCTTCTTATCTTTGCGTGGTTCTATAGTCATGGGACTTTTGCCGTCATGGTATTTCATACTGATCTCCATGTCATGGGCACGCGTAGCCAATTCTTCAAATGTGCGAGGTTTTATGCCTTGCAGAATGTAGAGCAGGCCCCAATGCATTCCCTGCATACACATCTCCACAGCAGATACTTCTGACAAACGGTCCTTGCAGTCAAGACTGAAGGCTCTCCACCGATTAATGTAGTCGATTACAGGCTCATCCTTCCATTGCTTCGTGTTAGTCAACTCTATCATACTAACAGTACGACGAGTGCTATAGAACCTGTTCAAGAATTCTCGTTCCATCTTGTCCCAACTATCAATTGATTCTGACTTTAAGTCAGTGTACCACTCGAACGCATTTCCTTTAAGGGACCGGACAAACTGTTTGACTAGTAAGTCCCCCTCTGTTCCGGCATTGTTACAAGTCTCGACAAAATGGGCAATGTGTTGCTTGGGGTTACCTTTTCCGTCAAATTGCTGAATCTTCGGAGGTTGGTATCCTACATGCATTCTCATACTGTCGATTCTCCTTGTATAGGGCTTTGAGTACATGAGAGTGCTCTGTGAGACACCACCATATTGAGCTCGGATTGTATTCGTTATCATATCTTGCAATTGTTCGACAGATAATGAAGAGACCGAAGACGAGGTATGATTGGTTTGACCAGTCGCCTATTCTATCCCCGGCGTCTGGTTTTGACTGGTCGCGTGTTCTGTCACCGGCGTCTGTTTGGGATTCTCCCTGTGAGTACCTTGTGCTGTAGAATTAGGATTCTCCGTTAGTATTGCTGTGGAAGATGTAGGTTTCCCAGACGGTGGTGGTGTGAAAGTTGCACGATTCCCGGATGGCATTGGTGTTTCACCGAAGGTCTGAACTTCCAATTTATTCATTAGTGTAGCGATTTGCAAGTCCTTTTCTTCAATAGTCTTTGTGAGGTTCTCAAAGGAATGAGCCATAGTTGCTAGTTGTTCCTCCACCGTAGCAGCTCCAGTCATCATTGCAGCAACCACATCTGAGTATGATAGGCCTTGAGAATCCACGTTCCTTGAAGTAATTGATTGCTCCGAAGTCTGACGTGGTGACTCTGGGGGTGAACCGACACTAGAGTGAGCATCATAGATAGAATGAAGTGAATTTAGTGGTGGAGCCTCCTCTAGAATAATGTCAAGGTTTTTGACATGTTGAGTTTTCACATTCGCTGGTGTTGCAGGATTAGTTGTCACCCCATCTTGCTGAAGTTTGAATGACGCCATCGCCTGGGACTTGCTACGTGTCACAGGGCCCGTCAAGGTACTTCCATCGCTTAATTTGGTCTTCAAGCCACTTTTCATGGTGGCTTTAGCGTCGACCTTTGCAATAGCGATGTTCTTTTGGGCTTTCTTGTCTGTCTGAATCTTAGGGGGAGCCATAGAATCTGATAGAGAAGAAACTTGATGGTAGGAGAAAGAGATGAGAGGCAAAGGTGGTCCCACCGGGCGTGCCACAAATTTGTACACACAAATTTTGTAAGTCTGCAATAGAAACAAAATATGGAGCAAATAGAAACAAAATATGGAGCAAATAGAATGTTATTAATTTATGAATGTGGAGTACAGTCCTTTGTAATATCTTTTACAAAAAAAGAATGGTCCTCTGATTCGATCTCCTTGTTTTTGGTTGGTTGGATCCAAGGGCTGCACGAGCTTGTTCTTGAATCACTGTGGAATTGGATGAAGAACGGCACGTTGTTGGATGTGCTTGATGTTCTTCGCTTTTGGGTTTCGATTCTGAATTTGTGTCTGAATTCTGAGTCTCTGGAATTCTGAGTCTCTGAACTTTTGTGTCTGAATTTGTAGACTTCTGAATTCTGAATCCTCTCCCTTTTTCTTCCTCCAAGCCTCTATTTATAGGTTTCTTGGATTAATAGGATGATGACACGTGTCATCTCCTGATAAGGAAAAAAACTATAATTGGGCCGGGCCGGATATATTATGATAATTATCCTTAAAAATAATTATTCCAAATATATTTTATTAGGAATAATTATTCTTTTTATTTGACCAACTAGACTCTAGACTGGGCTTAATTAAATAATTTAAGTGGACCATACTTGGGCCAATTAAATAACTTAATTAAACATTGGGCCCATATTTAATGGGTTAATTTGTCCAAATTAAAGTTCACTAAAATTTTAGTGTCTACACCGTGTACGGACACTAAGATATACCTGTTGCATGGTGTAAACGCATATGAATCCTGTTCATTTAATACATATATTGCACGCATACATTACACACGCTCTATATAAACAGTTACATGCGCCCGTGCATAGAATTTTTCTCCTATAGTACCAATTGAAGGATTTAATTTCCAACCAAAATGTCAAATGCATGCTCTGATTTTTTGATTGATTGACCTGTGCATCATGCAATAAATATGGAACACCAATTGATGGATATAATTTCCAACCAAAATACATATAGCATGCAGCATGTTTATTGGGTAGGTCCCACCTTAAAACAACAATAAAAATAAAAATAAAAATAAAAGATTGAGCTGAAGTTATGCAAATTGCAAAATTGGATTTAATCCCTTAGATTAAGTCTCTCTTCAGTTTTTACTGCTAAAAGGTCCAAACACAAAAAACAGAAGGAAAATCACACACGCACAGCAATATAGCATATATCATGTTTATGTAGGGTCCCTTCATCTCCAAATTTTTTCAGGTTTTACTTGTAATTTGTACTCCTTACCCAAAAAATAAATTAAATTAATAAAACTGAGCTGAAGTTTGACTTCCAGAATGCAAATTGCAAATTGGATTTAATCCCACAGATCAAGTCTCTCTCTATTGGTCCATACACAACACACAGTCACACACACACAAAAAAAAGGTCCAAACACAAAAAAAGAAGGAAAATCACACACGCATAGCAATATAGCATATATCATGTTTACGTAGGGTCCCTTCATCTCCAAATTTTTTCAGGTTTTACTTGTAATTTGTACTCCTTACCCAAAAAATAAATTAAATTAATAAAACTGAGCTGAAGTTTGACTTCCAGAATGCAAATTGCAAATTGGATTTAATCCCACAGATCAAGTCTCTCTCTATTGGTCCATACACAACACACAGTCACACACACACACACACACACACAAGGGTAAAATCATACACATACAAAACACATACTCTGTGTGAGAGAGAGGGGGGTCACATCAAACAAAGTGCAACATAGACCAATTTACATATAAACTAAGACTGAAGGGATAGCAAATTCTCATTAAAATAAAAAATTACAGCCTCTCTCTAGATGTACAGAAGGAAAATTCCAAAAAGAAGAGATCAGCTAAATACCTTCCAATAGCAGCCAATATCACCCACCAAAAGGAATCAAATTCCCAGCATTTTCACATAAAGAAGAAAGAAAAATACAAAGCAAAACCCTAGTGGTTGCTTGTTGAGTCCAGATGATTGATTCCCTGCTAATAACCCCCACTGTACTACTGCTGTCGTGGCAAAATATCATCCACACATCAAGCCCCACTAATAATCACCAACCAACCCTTTTCTCTTCTCCTGCAAATCTTTTAAACCCTCAAAAACATGAGGCCTGAGAACAAAAGGGTTAGAGCGAAAGAGCAGAACAAGTTGGTGGTTTGATGGAGGAGAGACAAACTGCCACTGTTGTCAGTGCTGGTGATGCCTGTGGTGGGACCCAGCCCGAAAACTGAGGAAGGTGGTGAGTTTGTTGTGGATGGAGTTGTGGTTCCTGATGGTGTTCCTGTTGAGGTGTTGGTTGATGGTGTTCCTGAAGAGCTGACCACACCATATGACAATAACAATGAATCAATATCAGCCTCCTCAAACTGATAATCAGAAACAAAATATCAATACACTTTAGAATCTTGGATCGGTTTTTGTTACCGTCCGATGAAGCAATCATTGAGATTTTTATTCGTGTACTTGTTAGACACTATTTAACAATGAAGAGCTGACCACCATATGACAATAACAATGAATCAATATCAGCCTCCTCAACTCATAATCAGATACAAAATATCAAAACCCTTTAGAATCTTGGATCGGTTTTTGTTACCGTCTTATGAAGCAATCATTGGGATTAGATACTATTTATTGAAGTAGTACCAAAAAAAAAAAAAACGATTGTTGTTTGTATCATTACTCTTGTTATGAAAGCAAACGGGACCTAACTTGATAAAAATATAATCATAAGCAACTCAATAGAATCCTGTTCATGCAAACGGGACCTAACTTGATAAAAATATAATCAAAAGCAACTCAATACAATCCTGTTTTTGTTACCGTTGAAACAATCTTTGAAATTTTTATTCATTTACTTGTTAGACACTATTTATTAAAGTCGCATAAAAAACTGATTGTTTTTTATAACATTACTTTTAGGTTATGTTTGGCACGCATGAAATTAGAGTCTTAAAATTAGAATTGGTGGAATTGGGAGCCTTAGAACCAAAATTTTCACGAATTCCATCGATTCCAATTTCATGCCGCCATACATGGTCTTATATGAAAGCAAAAGGAACCTAACTTTTAAAAAATATGTATAATTATAAGAAGGGAAAGTTATATTTCCAGCTATCTGGAATCAGTATATTGGCAAGGAACAAAGGACAAACAAACTCTATGAGATATCAACATCATGACAGCTCATAAGGAAATCAATTAATTAAGAACATGTTTAGAATGGGATGCTAGATCTACCCTTTCCCTAGCTTGAAAATCAATTTCACATCTACCATTTAGATTTTTATAATTACAAGTTAGAAGTAAGTGTGACACAGAACCTAACAACCAAACAGTGGTGATTTGGTACTTAAAATAAGTGTATTAGTAAAGTTTAGATTATCAATAGGAAATCAACTCAAAGAGAGAAAGGTATCAGATTCTCTTTCACCTCAAAATATTTCAATAGGTTTAGATTAGTAAAGTTAGAAAAATAAGCAAAATTAAAATCAATTTCAAGGTTACCCTTTCCCTTTCCCTTTCCCTTCCCCTTCCCCTTCATCATCAAAAAAACTTGATGAAGGAAGAAAACCCTTTTCTCCACCAAAGGAAAAAAATTTGGAAGAAAATAACTTTATGGAAAAGAGATTGTCATATGTAATAAGCAACAAAATATTCCACACAAGAAGGGTTCTCACTCCAAAACCAAATGAAAAACTTCATCTGAAATTGAGATTAAACAAGATCTGGTAACAAAAATTGAAGATATGAGACAAGAAATTAAAGGCACACCTTGCACTTGAAGGATAAACACATGTAGTAGTTTGACCACCTAAACAAACACCAAGAAAAACACACACAAAAAACAAGAAAGAATTAGTATTCCATGAAAAAAAAAAAAAAAAAGCAATTTATATGGGTGGTTTGGAAACTTATTGATTAGGGTCAGGGGACTTACTAGGTGCAGTTGTACTAGTGGTGGCAGTGCCTGAAAAATCACAGCTCCCAATAGCTTGACCTTTCTTTTGATAATAGCTGTTGACAGCATAGTTGCAGTGATCCTTTACAGTGTTAGGGCTGTAACAAGCACCATTTTGAATAATTGGAGTGCAGTCAGCTCCAGCTCCACAAGCATAGTCTATGTTCTTCTGAAGAAGTGAATCACTCACTCCATCTTTGCATACACAATAAGTAGCACCTATAATACAAATTTATAAAAGAAAAAAAATTAATTAATTAAAAATCACCAACAGATCAGCTCATACAAATTCATTTTCTTCCCCCAAAAAAATAATAATAATAATAATAATAATTTTTGAAGAAGAAATTGTGCAAAATCTACAAAGTGAAAATATGATGAAAATCCATCTCAAGAAACATGAGATATGATATCTAAAAGCCTTTACATCTTCAGGGAAATGAAAATCCAAGAGAACACAAAAACCCGGGGGGGCTTACTTGAATGACCAGTCATGGCCAAGAAAACCACAAGACATATTCCAAAAACACCCATGGTTGTAGCAAGATTGTGGAGGAAAATAAAATAAAATAAATAAATTACTACTGTATTTTAGGAGTACTTGGCTGAACTTGATAACAAGATGGATAAGAAGAGAGAGAACAGAGAAGCTTAGAGAGAGAGAGAGAGAGAGAGAGAGAGAGAGAGAGTGTGTGTGTGTTGGTGGAAGGTGGAATGGAGATTTCTGGACAACAATATTGAGAGTGATGGTGGGTAGTGGCTGGTGAGGGTCTATTTCTGATAACTTCTTTTGTGCTTACGACCTCTTTATTTTATACATTATTTTATCATTTGTCAAGAATAGAGTGTTATGACCTTACGGGGAAATGAGCAAGCTAAGCTTTTGTCATGTACTTGGCTGTGTGTCCATGTGTGTGTTTTTTCAAACGGTCATAAACTTCTGTGCAGGATTAAAACTTAACCCAACCAGGTTTAGGTTGGTGCATGGGCAAGGGGTCCTTACTGGACATGTTTATAAACCATTTTTTATTTTAATTATATGGTCATCAAGAAAGTACGACAGTTTTAAGAAGATGCGATACCCATGTTGGATACTAATACTTTATGAATATTGAATACCTATCCACACTTTATATATGTTTTCATAAATAAAATTAATTTTAATATTTCAGACACTTCGTCGACATTTTTTAAACACATCGTTGATACTTTTTCGATACTTCGCCGACACTTTCAGACATTTCACCGACACTTTTCGGACATTTCTAACATAAGTCTACTCACTAATTTTTGAAAATAATATGAATCCTATCATAATAAAGTAGTGAAATACTGATATATATATATATATATATATATATATATATATATATATATATGATATAAAAATCATTACAATAGTGACATAATTTTATTTTGTAATTAATTTCAAAATAAAGTTTTAGTATAGAAATTATAAATGAATTAAAGTTTTATAATACTGTTAATGAATAGACGTATAAAAATAAAATTTTATATTTATATGTAACTGTGCTCACGTCTATTTTTTAAAAATTTGATGTGTCAGACGAATTCGTATCGTATCGTGTCCGTCTCCATGTTATATAAATGGTAACAAAAAATCAAATAAAAATCAAGTACATTTTGCGTGATTCTTTGTAATTAGACTTTGGCGTGCACCTGAAAAATGTAATAAATTTTTTTCCCATGGTGTCCTTTATGTGGTTTGTTATGATTTTGCTCGGGCTTACAAGTGACTCCTGTCTGGACATGTTTTTGCTTTTCTCTTGAGCAAGTTAAATTTGACCCCCTAATTTGATTCAATGATAACTCAACAAAACATTTTTTTTTTCTCTTGTGTTTTAAATTAATGGGATTGATTACATCACCCTTTTAATATATTTCTATCTATCATGCGCAGGTGGTACTTTGGAAAAATTGAAAATCAATCTAGATTTGTGCTTAGAAAATAACAATGGAAAATATTTACTCATGAATAAAATAAAAAGAAAGAGTTTTTTATGCCCTTTTAAAGATTTGGAGGAAGCATAACTCTAAAGATATACATATGGTTATATTTCTAAAGTATATATAATTGGATCTCTAAAAACAACATATTCATTAATATGTGGACAAAACAAATGCTCATGTAGAAATACTCACATTCATGAGCATTAAGTATTATAGCATAAAGTTAGAAATATACTCAAATTTATGAATAAAGTATTAAATATTATGGGACTATGGTATATGGTACAATGGCAGCTCTTGAATCATGGATATAGTGGTGAGTTTTATCACATTCAAGGGTTAGAATGATTTCGGGTACTATACTTACGGAGTATTTAATACTTTCTTCACATTTATGAACATTTTAAGTGATACCTTTTAAATATAAATTGAGAGAAAAATAAATAAAATGGTCCGATAATAGTTAATGAGGAAATATATTATAACTTGAAATTTAATTAGAATCATGATATTATATAGATTATAGAACACAATAATGGAATATGATTCATATGATCGATTTGACACTTGAAATAGGATGTGCGACTTTATGAAAAACAATCCTCACAAATCAATTTAGTCAATTTTGTTAAAATTATAGATTAGAACATCATAAAATTCTAAAATCACTTCTCCTTGTGACATATAAAAAACTCTAAACAAACTTTTAGAGTATCACAATAGGGATGTTGTATCACATCAAACGATTCACAAATATCATCCGTATTTGCCATTAGACATGTAATATTTGTAAGCCGTCTGATCCATTGGATCTGGACTCTTTCCTATATGAGGATCAAGAGGAGATTAATGATAATAATGAGGGAATAATTTTATCATCAATGACAACTCATAAGATTACGAACAAAAAAAAAAGAATAAAGGTGCCAAAGATGTGCCTTTTGTTTTGTGTGGGGGACATGGAAGCTTACTAGATATGTGGAACCAATTAAAAGGGAAAAAACACTAGTGAGTTTAGAGTCTTCTATCAAATTTATTTGGAGTGTTGAATTTCCTCACAACAGAAAGGAGAATCTAACACAACCCAATCTCTCTTTCTCTCGCCACTGTTAGTTATTGATGCAAAAAAAATTATTTTGACAGAATTAACCGTAATTCATTAAGGAACTAGACTCAGTTAAATCACACAATGTTTCTAAATCGATGTTGTTCTCACGATTTGCGGTGTGATTTAATTTTGTTGTTCTTGTGCTCCTACTCTTGAATTGCTTCCGCTACATGTGACCTAGGAACCTACTAGTTGCATTGTTGAAATTTCAGAAGAGTTTTGAGTAAAAATTTTAACACTATAATTTAATAGGGGATGTGAAAGTTGCAAACTCATATATTCGCCCTTTCTCAGGGGTATGATACCATTGCACACCCGAACCGACTGGTTCCACAGGTTTACAACAATATTCATCTTAGTCTGTTACACTGCGACTGATATCACGATTGCAAACTATGATATTTGCTTCCGCTCAATGTGACTTAGGAACACCTACTACTTGCATTGTTGAAATTTCAAAAGAGGTATGAGTATTTTTTTAATACTATAATTTAATAGAAGGGTGAAAGCTGCAAACTCATATATAGAGTATGGTTTGTCGTATCGGCCGATACGTGGTAACTCTTTTTCCAAGGACTGATACTGTTACTCATCCCTATAAACCGGCCGAATGACAAATTTATAATAATATTCGTCCAACTCCGTTATACCATGATTGATGTCTGATACCACAATTGCAAACCATAGACACACATTTTTATCTCATATGGCATATTCCTTGTGCATATTGGGGCCTACCATACACCGAATGCCAATTCTTAATCACGTATTCATGATTAAAAGATGCAATTCCATTAACTTGTGGCTTATCTCAAACAACCAATCAAAGAAAGATAAACCCCATCATCATTTTATTATTAATCAATAATTTAATACAATACAACACCTTGATGGAAATGGATGGTCCCACTCGGTGGTGGGTCATGGACCCTCTTGCACGTGCCAATATCCTTTTGTTCTCATTGCTTCGCTGCCAAACACGCCCACTCATGGCCCAGAACACTCTCTTTCCTGTTCGGCTTTTGGGCCGATCTGGAACAAGGACTTCAAATTATATCTTGTATGAAAGCCCATCAATACTAATTTTCTAGTGGGTCCAACTTGCAAATTATGCCACTATGACCCGTTACAATTTACGTTACAATTTACGTCCACTTCCTAGTTCCTAGTATTGTGAGGTTTAGAGACAGACTATAAACATGCTGGATTTACTTAATTAGCACATTTATATACAAATTTAGTGTATGAATTTTTTTTGATGCTAAATAAATTTTTTTATTTATTTACGGTAAATAAATTTTTGTGTATGAACTTGTTGTCATGGAAATTCAGAAACAAATGGTTTATATGAAGTTGGATTTCAAAATTTAAAGAACGTAATTTTTTTTTTTTTTTAATTGAAGTTGGATAGGTTGTAATTAGAATTCATGTCAACATAAATTTAAGTAAATCGAGATTCATTGACGTCATGAAAATTTTTTTGTTGTTATTTTGATCCTTTTACCCAAAACAATTATTACAATTGTATTCGTGTGCCAAAAAGGAGATATATTTTATAAAAACTATAAAACACAACTGATTGTCATATTTGAGGTAACATATTTTCTTCAACATCGTACTAGCACACTAGTAACTGACACAGAGAATATAAAAGTAATGGAATTGTGTTGGTTGGACAATGTTTTACCATCGTCGTTTGCTTGGTGAGGACAAATGAGCTCTCCCATTTATACAGATGTATCACATTTCAATGGATGATTAGGATTTATTGGTGGCGAGTATTCTAGTATTGGGTTCTAAAATTCACCAAAGGTATTCTTAACAGTGTTAAATTACTTTAGAGAATTCCAAGTTACAATGTACTAATTATAAGTTACAATGTACTAATCTATACAACTCTTAAACTGTGTAATGAAGTTTAGAATGTTTTGACCGCCCATGTCACGTTTCACGAAACATGACATGTAGAATACTTTTTCTTAAACTAGGTTACAGGTAGTTTTTTACAAGCGAAGTCCAAACCTGGCATTAGCCCATCAATTTCTACTTTTTTGCTCCGCTTGTTTGATTAGAAGGACAGAAAAATAGATAGAAACGATAGGAAAATGGATGGATGAGACATTTTTAAAGAAGGGAAGACATTTTTATTATTTTTTGTTTGGTTGAATGGAATGGTTAGTAAAAATAATGGATGGGGTGACACATTTTTTTTTATTTGGTTGGAAATTTAGAAGGAAGGGAAAGAGGGTTTTTATATTTTTTACTAATACGTCCTCATTATTTAAAAATGTAAAAATTCTATATCTATCCCAAATATTTAGGTTAGAAATGAAAATTTCATATTTGTCTTAATTATTATTTCTTTCTCTCTCATCTTCCCACCAATTTTGGACCCATAGAAAAATACAAAAGAACCCTCCTTCCCTCTTTTCCCTTTCCTCTAATCAAATACAAAAAAAATTACTTTATCCCGTCTCTTATTCATCCCTTCTCAATTATTCCTTCTAAACAAACATAGCATACACATACTCACCTGCCAAAGTGTTTTGTATTTTTTCAATTTTTGTAGTTTAAAAGAAATTGGTTGAAATTTCGAGTTTTTAATGAAACAAAACTAAGTTATGTTATGATTGGGAGTAACGAATACGTACTTTGGATTTGGAATTGAAAAGTTTAATTGAAGATTCGATGCCACTAAATATAATTTATTATTATTATT